AAAAAAAAAAAAAAAAAAAAAAAAAAAAAAAGAAAAAGAAAAAGAAAAAAGTGGAGTCACAACAAACATCTCCAAAATCCAGAAGATTATTAGTAACTACTTTGAAAATCTGGGCTCCAATAAATTGGAGAATCTGGAAGAAATAGATTCCTAGATACATGTGAAATACCAAGATTGAACCAGGAAAGGGTAAAAACCCTGAACAGCAGTAAGCAAGAATAAAATTAAGGTAGTGATATAAAACCTACCAACTAAGAAAAGGCCAGCAGCTGATGGATTCTCTGTTGAACTCTACAAGAACTTCAGGGATGACCCAATGCCAATATTCCTCAAACAGTATAATGAAACTAAAAGGGGTGGAGTATTCCCAAAGTCATTCCTAGCAGCCAGCATTACCTTGATTCCCAAACCTGACAAGGATAAAACAATAAAACAAAGAAAAAACCCTAAATCCCCCAAACTATAGACCAATCTCTTTCATGAATGTAGATGCAAAAATCCTCAATAAGATACAAAATAGGTACGGAAGAATCTTAATCTGATAAAAGCTATTTTTGGCAAACCTACTACCAATATCAAATTAAATGAGGGAAAAATGGAAAGATTTTCTTCTAAAATCAGGAATAAGGACATCGATGTCTACTATCACTACTCTAGTTCAATATAGTACTTGAAACTTTAATTTTCAGTCAGGTAGGAGAAAGAAAAGGGATAGTATAGGAAAAGAAAAACTACTCATTCACCAATGGCATGATCCTTTATACAGAAGACATATCTTTCACCATGTACTAAAATAAAAAATGGATCAAAGACCTAGATATTTAAACAGAAGATAATACATGTAAAACTCTTGAAGACATGGGTATGGCAGAGATTTTCTGAGAAGAACCACACTAGCATAAGAAATAACATCAAGAATTAATGAGTAGGATTCTATCAAAAAGCTGCACAGCAAAGGAAGCAACAGAATGAGACAACCTACAGGATGAGAAAAATTTTCAGCTGCTCCTCAAAGGACTAATATTTAGAACTCAAAATGCTGCTTTCTGCCTGCCACGCCATGAACTCTTTCTCCTCTGCCATGCCACCCCGACTTGGAGCTAGCTGACTATGGACTGAAACTTTTACAAACTATGAGCTAAAATAAACCGTTCTTTCTTTAACTTATGGGTGTTAGGTATCTTGACCCAGAAATGAGAAAGTAACTAAGACACTGACCATTGGGGAAATGCAAATTAAAATAACACTAAAATTTCATGTTACTCTGGAAAGAGTGGCTGTGATCAATAAGTCAAATTGTAACAAATGTTGGCAAGGCTGTGGAAAAAAAGAATCCTTCTACAATGTTGGTTGGAACATAAACTAATACAACCACTGTGGAAATCGGTATGGGGTTCCTCAAAAAAC